CAAAAAAGGAGCCTCCACTCCCTCCCTGGGCAGCCTGTCCCAGTGCTCTGTCACCCTCACTATAAAGAAGTTTCTTCTCACATTTAAGCGGAACCTCCTGTGTTCCAGCTACACCCATTGCCCCTTGTCCTACCATTGGGCATCACTGAGAAGAGCCTGGCTCCATCCTCCTGGCATTTGCCCTTAACATATTTATAAACATTAATGAGGTCTCCCCTCAGTCTCCCCTTCTCCAAGCTAAAGGGACCCAGCTCCCTCAGCCTTTCCTCATAAGGGAGATGCTCCACTCCCGTAATCATTTCTCTCATTCCTGAACAGTAACTGATCAGAACTCACACCATATGAGCAAAGTTAAGACTTTTCCACCCACTTATTGATTTTTCAATATTTTTTCTCAAGATATCATGAAAGAAACACAGGAAGTATTCTATCATGAAAAACATTCCATTGTCAATGCTGCAAATACTTCAAAACATTTTATGTTTCAATTACATAGCGTGTGTACGTAGTGGAAATCCATTTGAGATTAATAAAGATCTAAAAATCTTAAAGATGAGGAAGAAAATAAAACTGTTAAATATGTTACACAAGGGAAGATATAAGTACTTGGCAACAGTCAAAGCTATAACAATCATTATGCAAACTAGAAATATCCAGTATTTGAAATGGCTAAAATTATTTGTTGCAATCCCTTTTCTTCAAAAAGATATAAATAAATAAAACAAAAGCCCACCTAACTAAAAAGACTACTGTCATACAATCACCTGGAGCCACAAAACTGGCTGATCAGCTTACCTTGCTCCTAACCATACCCTGAAATAGAGATACCTGTCAAAATCATCTGTTTTGGTGAAGTGCAGGAATAGAGTATAGGCTATCAAAGAGTTCATTAATTGAAACATTAGTATATCTTCAGAATTTTCTATTATTCTGAGTATTTATTTAGTTTTAAGCTGTTAACTTTAGTCTACTGCTATAACTGAAAAACTAAATATTCTTCTGATAAAAGAAACCAAATCAGGTATGAAAGAACCCTTCAAGGTAAGATACAACATTAATTATAAGACATCAACCAGACAGATATTATTGTTTCTTTAACCACCATCTCAATTTCCTTTTATTTTCAGGTAGTTTTCCAGTTTTTCAACCTCCTAACTGTACTCATCACACACAGTCTTACACTTTGTATTCTTCATCCTACAATTTTCTGTGTCTTCAAGTATTACACTCACCTTAATTTGGTCTTCCCCAAGAATATTAAGTAAGACAGAAGCCTTTTAAAATATTTAATTAAGTTGGCAATAGAACAAAGAAATGTTTCAGAGAGAAATACAGTTCTGATGAGAAACATTTCCATGTAAAAGAGAACATTAGTCATGGAAAAGCAGTCTGAATCCAGCTGGACTCATTGCACAAAAAAGATGAATCTGCATGCTCCTCTGTAACAGCCCAGCTATGGTACTGCAGGATAATTAAAGCCAGTTGTTAAGGATTTCAGAGGCGGAGCAGAGTTCCTATATCCTGCCAAAGTATCTATCAGTGGCAGGAAAGAGTTCTCCCATTGAGCAGTGGTGATTAAGTGTTTGCATTTTGAAAGCTGTATCTAATGCAATTCTTGGAAGAAAATAATGTGCAGTTTTACGATATGCAACTCCAAGCTAATTTTGTTTTAATTACTTCTAAAATTCTAAATGAAAATCCAAGCAGATGATTTGCATACTAACAATTTTTCCCAGTATTCCTCATCACTTGTGCATTATACCCTACTCAGTCATTACAGATGAAATCCACATCTCATGAAAATCAAATGAATCTCTCTAAAAATCAGAATTTCAGCACTGATTTTTCAAAGAAAGATCAATGTCACTGAAATCAGACTCTTCTCCAAAGGAAAGGACATTCATGTTCCAAATCAGACTTGTGTCCCCTAACAACTAGACTAATTTAAAATGAATTCTGTACATTCAGGATTTTTTTTTTAGCCCTCCCCTAGCACCTTAATTTAAAGCAAAACAAAAACAACTTTAAAAAAACCCCAAACTACTAAGAAACAAATATTGCCGAGCATTCCAATTTGCATTCCATAGCATCTGTGCCAACATCTTTATCTAGCAACTAAGTTTACAGAATTGACCTCAGTTATGGGAAAAGTAGTGATACAATCTGAGCTGAAACTCTGAATAAAAGAAACTTATCCGAGACTTCAACAATACCAGATTATCATTATTGGTTTTGAACACTACAGATTCTCAGTCTCACCACAAATATTTTGTCTCTCAAAATGTTTGGATAACTTATGCACGAGTGAATAAATAAGGTAACTCCTGCATATTTAATTCACTCTATTAGTTAAATGTGTCCCAGTTCTAAGTGGTTTTACAGAGGAGAAGAGCCTTGCAATGCTGATAGCTTGTTTACTTCCTCATTTAGTTGCTGTGGTCAACTGAAGAAGTAATTGAAAAATCTCATCCTTAAACACTTGAAATTAAACCCAACAAAGTGCAGACAACCAGAACTTTTACTGCCTTGTCTTGCATGTGGCATTCATGCTAACATATCACAAAACAAGATCTTCTTTTAGTGAAAGCATAATTCAATTAATTTCTTCAGACCTTTTCTGGGTAGGTATCAGTTGCCTTTAATCAGTGTCCAAAATACACTCAGTACAGAGAATTCCGATATTTCTCTGTGACTCACCTATTTTCTGACATCAGAACTGACGCTTCAAGAACAATAACAAGCTTTTTAAAAAGCAAATTAATTAAAACCTACAGTTTATAACAATACTAGAGGATACTGATCATAATAAACATGGCTGTTTTTAAGAGACCATGAGTCGCAACGAAGTTAGAACTACTTGTAAAAAAAAAAGAGGTCATTTTTCATGCCTTTTGACAAGAAGTTCTCTGAACTCAAAATAATCACTGATTTCTCAGCTACTGCTGCACGACTTCCCTTTTTTTTTGAAAAAGCAACTGTTAAAGGAATTTGAAAACAAGAGGCGTTAAGAATGAACTCGAATAACCAGATTCAGAAATTGACCTGTTGTTATTGCTGTGTATGAGTTGAAGAGTGATTTTTTTTACCTACCAAAACAAAAATAACAATAACCAAGAACATAGGACTAAAGGCTAGACCTGGTACAAAGCTTCCACAGTAAGCAGTCAATTCCTAAACGCTGAGACACTATTTTCTCCTTCACTTAACATAAAAAAAAAAAAAATAGCAGCTCAAATTCTGTGTAAATATAAACAAACCCAGTCATGTCACAGTGCCAGATACAGTCAGACTGCACCTACCAAATCAGGCTTCATGAAGAACTTAACACTGACTTGCCTAAAGTCTGGATCACAATGAAACTAAGACAACCACTAGACACCTTGTCCTCTGCTGAGAGAAGCAGCTCTGACCATGCAGAGAAGCAGGAAAAAAAAAGAGTCAACTGGGAAGGCACCTGGAAATCAAGACACTTGTGGAATTAGATAGCTGCAGAGTGGCAGGATTTGCTTTTGTTGTTTGTTTTGTTGTTTGTTTGGGTTTTTTTTTAAATTAGTTTTGCATTTATGCAAATAGTGCCCTTCTAAATCCAGTTTTAAATAACTAAAGCCTCCTACACACTTCAACTCATATTTAGTTCAGCTCTTTCTCTAAATTAATAAAAACACCTTTAAATAGTCCTGCTCTTTAGTAGCTTTCATTCAAATTACTCATATGTTTATCTGAACAAAACAAAAAGTGACAAATTAAATCCTGTAAGTGTTTCCCTGGAATAACAATGTCTGAAAGCCTTTTATATGCTGCAAAACAAAGTTGAAGGGCAACTGTTTTTCACTAATTAGGGGTAATTGATGGAATTAACTATGTCTTTTTGGTTAAGTTTAATATTATTCAAAAAGATAATGCATTACTCTTCAATAGGCATACACAGAAACCTAAGTTTCTGTTCAAATACTTCTGAGGCTTTACCTGACAAGGAAGCAACAACAACCACTTGCACAAACATTCCCAAACAGTTTTCATTATTACAGGCAGTTGCACTAACTTGAAGCTGATGTCTCACAGCAGTGAGCCCAAGATCCAGCAATCATTGGCAAGCTCAGGCCCATCAACCTGAAGTTACTGCGTAACACAGGCGTTTGCATAAGTGATTACCCACTAGAGGGAGTCGCTGATTCACACATTGAATCCCAGTTGGCAAGTGACCAACATAAAAACGTGGCTCCTCTGGAAAGGTCAGAGCAACCGAAAATACTACTATAAGGAAAACAAAACCTGAAGTTCAGAAAGAAGTCAATACCAAAAAATGACAAAAAAGTGCTCTTTAGAAAAAGAAAAATGAAAATCCCACAGTTCCTTTAGCCATTCAAAGAGATGTTTCTCACAGGCTAATAACTGAAAACATAGTTCTGCCAATGTACACTGTTACAGAGCCTCTGGTATACCTGTTCCAGCTATTTTATGGAAGTAAACAAGGTTTGTGCAAATTAGTGCAAAATAGGAATCAAGGTATTTTATGTTTTATTTCTCCCAATGTACCAGAGGCAACATTACTGGGGCATAGGACAAATTGGAGCCTTCTATGTACAAAATTCAAACTATCATTTCTCAAGGCTGAGACTCCAAAGGTACTTAATACTGCTGGCAAGGGAAAAAGATAAAGGCCATTAAAAACACGGGACATACAATTCCAATCGATTTTCTACAGACTTTAACACTGCTTATCAGTAATTGCTTTATCTTTCAGTCAAGTGAAGAGGTACTTTTGGAATCCTGAGATAAGAACAAACCTAATTTTAATTTCCAAAGAGGAGTTATCATGGGTAATGTGTCACTATGCTGACAAAACCAATGAGACCCTTACACAGTTGAAAACGTCTGAGTTACCAATTCCTGCATATGAAATTGCTTGTTGAAAGTGTGGAATCAACAAATGTTAAAAAAAAGACAGTCCTTGAATTATAAACCACTCAAAATAGCAACATACTATTTTTCTGTATGATTTCTATAGCCGAAGATTTCACTTCATTCTTTAACAAATATACTATGAGAATAAATAGAAGATAACTAAAGAGAAATGCAAAAAAATACAAATATAGATGCATGCTGTATTTTCATTCATATCAGATCTCAACACACACTTTAAACACAAAATTTGCAATGTAAGCTCTGTTCTGTCATATACCTGATAAATCTGGCTTGAAGGTTTTGAGCAAGCACTGGAAATTGCAGAAAAATCTCCATCAGATAGTACTTGAAGCTTAGTGTCTATCTCATTTAGCTGATGAAATTCCATTGGTTCAGGTGTGTATCCTTCTCCTGGTGCTAGCCAGCCAGACACATCCTCCTATTGAAAGATACAGGAAATATTTAATCCTTGTTCCCAAAGGAAACAGACTTTAAAGGCAGTTACACATCAAGCGTATTTATGCTTCAAATAAACTCTAGTTAAGAATAAAATGTAAGCTTTCATCTATCTCAGCTAAAACCTGCCCATATTCATGTCCCAAGTATACTCAAAAGCAGATATGAACAGAACAACTAGAGGCACACATTTTTCATTTTTACATATAACCAAGCAGCAGCTTAAATGGACTTAAAAAATACATATTTCATCTTATTTTTAGAAAGCACATGCATCTACATGCATTGTTCAAATGGAATAGCAAAAAAGGTGTTGTGTTAACTTAAACAGACTTCTGCTATTATTTTACTTATTTCTATAAAAATACAAAGTCTGTGCCCTCACTGACTAGCCACTCAGAAGCTCTGAAACAAAACTGCTTAAAGCCAGATGCCTCACCTCCAAGCCAGCTGGCCAAAGAGCAATCAGACAGCTCCCAAGTTCCCCATCCATTCTTCTGAAGGTTACACAACTCCCTTGATCAAGTTCTCTTTACAGCTGAGAGCAGCACTTTGGATAGCTAACCCCTTTCCTTAAAGATGCATCTCACTTCATAGCCTCCTAGTCAAGTTAGTCAAAACTTTAGAACAGTCTCATGCCATGCCATGCCATGCCTATTGCAGCTCCCTTCCATGGGTGCAAACTCTTCCCTTGTTGCAGCTACTGTATTTGTTCAATATAGCAGTCCCAGCTCCCTTTTGAAGGAAAAACTGCTTGTCACGCTCTAACTTGCATATAGATCTTGCTGTCCAGTACTGCAAAGTAAGCATCGCTTTATGATGCCACCAACATGAATTTAAATTTGAGGAGTGTTGTGCTCCTTTGCAAGACAGTGCAGAGGATAGAGATAAAAAGGAAAGTGTCTGGCAGACGTAGATCCACCAGTCCTAAAACAGAAAACACAAAGAACATGCTATTAGCTCACATTTTCAACTCTAATATTGAAGTGGGAAAGCACAGCCCTCAGAAACTGCACTAGAACTTTCCTCGATATCATCCTAGATCACTTCTGTTATGCCTTGCATCCCAACATTCCTTGTCTGCATACTTATTCTGGAGACATCATATTATAGTTTAAGTCCCAAGTACTGTACAGAGTTGACCATATAGCAAACTTGAGACAGAAAGGTATTGTTTGCTTTTACAAAAAATGTAAAATGAGATGTTCTCAACTACACTGAACGCATCTTGTCAAGCTTCCTCAATGAACCTGCATCTCAAAGTCTAGCAGCAAATGCAGAGAGACATCTACACAATCCCACCTGCGGAGCAGGACATTAGAAGCCCAAATAAAGTGGAACATAATACAGTATTGTCCTCTGAAGGAAGTGGAAGTAACAGACTCCTGCACAAGTCAAAGAAGGAAATACAATCAGCAGCCATGTCTAAAAGGACAACCACTTTCCATCCAATAGAGTCAAGAAGAGAGAAAGCCTGACCAAAACCAGGCTTGGAACGAAACTGCAGAGGTTGATGCTATGGCAGAAACCACCTAGAGCCGAATCTCAAAATGAGGGTATGAGATGTAACATGACACTTACAATGTACCACCAAAGAAGAAAACATTGCATCCATAGGAAAGCAAAGTAACTGCTCTGAGGTGAGTAGCTGCCACCCTTCTAGAGCCCCAGTATGTTATCACAGAAACGCTGGGAGAGACAGAGAGTACAGAGTTCTTTTCCTGATCATGATTTACATTACTTTTTCCTCTTGACAGCAATAACACCTGGCTAACTAATATGAATATGTGCTCCTAGTACAGACAGTTGCCATATTATGAGTGAGCTTGGCCCACTTAACCCAAACAAATGAGCTCATATTCACAAACAGATGCAGGTTCTCCACAGCAACCTGACATTCCTGTCACACTCAGGGAAGCGAGTCTGCACAACTATCACTCATTGGGAATGACACTAGCATATTACATCTGGCCACAAAGAAACAGAATCACAGAATGGTAGGGGTTGGAAGGGAGCTCTGGAGATCATCTAGTCCAACCCCCCTGCCAAAGCAGGTTCACCTAGAGCAAGTTGCACAGGACTGCGTCCAGGTGGGATTGAATATCTCCAGAGGAGATGCCACAACCTCTCTGGGCAGCCTGTCCCAGGGCGCTGGCGCCCTCAAAGTAAATAAGTTTTTCCTCAACTTCAGATTGAGCTTCCTGTGTTCCAGATTGTGCCCATTGCCCCTTGTCCTGTGCTGAAATGAGTCTGGCCCCATACTCTTGACACCCACCCTTTAGGTGTTTATAAGCATTTATAAGATTCCCCCAGTATTCTCTAGGCTAAACAGACCCAGCTCTCTCAGCCTTTCCTCATCAGAGAGAAGCTCCAGCCCCCTAATCACCTTTGTAGTCCTCTGCTGGACTCTCTCCAGTCGTTCCTTGTCTTTCTTGAACTGGGGAGCCCAGAACTGGACACAGCACTCCAGATGTGACTTCACTAGGGCTCAAAAGAGAGGGAGGATAACTTCCCTCGACATCAAGCAGGATCTTAGAAGGACAAGGCAGGGATGTGGGAGAGGACATGAGTGTATTTCTGGTTTCCTTTCTTTTTCCTAACAGAAGCAGGCCAGCACCTTGCCCTAAGACTTCAACATCTGTCTTGCAAGGGATTCATGTCCACCACTCCTTTACAGCTTCCAGATTAGTCCTCTGGCTATTCAAGTAGCCACATCCACACAAGAGGAGGAAATATCAGCTTCCAATTACAATACCACTGCTATGAGGTCATTCCTTGTTCATCCCCATTACCCTAAAGCACACTGGTTGCAAAAAGAAAAAAGCATACCCCAAACACCTGTCATAAATTACCTCCATATTGAATTAAAAAAGAAAAAAGTGTCTCATCTCTTTTGTGAAACAAAATCCATTTTTCTAATGCTTTCTCATACAAGTAGGAGAACACAACTACTAAGCCTGACCAGACATGACCTGACTCCAGAAGAGCCACTCAGAAATGTCTCCAGAAGCTTGCCAGCTTTGTGGAAGCATCTATTCAGGTGAGACAGTGACCATCATAACACAAGTATCCAACATGGTGCTACACTTGTGCCATGTTAACCACCCCCTGATCAGACATCAAAGAGCACAGCGCAAACACACAGAAATGACTCTACAGGAGAGCTGCATCTGGGCCCCCTAGCTACAGCTCAGTGTCTATATCGCATGCCCTCATATCCCATGCTTCAAGGATACACGAAATGACTCTACGGGAGTCAGTTAAGCTGCATCTGGGCTCCCTAGCTACAGCTCAGTGTCTATATCCCATGCCCTCATATCCCATGCTTCAAGGATACAAATTACTCCAGTAGTCACCTTACTCCAGGGTTAAATGGACTCACACATTCTCTTTTGTATTTTCAGGATGGCTTTGCTTGAAAAATAAGCTTCTGTCCTGCCAATGTTTCCTGTGTGTTAACTCAGAACAATACTTTTATAACAGCACAGTCAGTCCTTATTACTGTGGAACATCTGAAACAAATTATACCCCTGCAGCTTTGACAATTAAATTAGCATGAATATGTACTTCTAAAATATTTTAAATACTCATAAAACACTTACTTTTATAAAAAAGTGAGAAGTGCTGTTTGGACACTTGACATATTTAGTAGTATGAGTCAAATGAAGTTACGTAATCCACACTACATTATACAGAGGAACTCATACAGAATAGCCAGCTCTGCCTTGATTGATAACCTCCAAAACATTACTTTAGCCAGCGTGGTTGCACCAGCTTTTTATAGTCAGAACGAAGTAAGATGAAAGTGGTCAGCAGCTAGACACTTACCTGCCAGCTTGAAGCAGTCCAGATTACTCATTAGCTGATAATTTCCTCATGGTCTTTGTTATAAAGCAGCCACAGGAAATGCCTTTCCCATAATATAATTCAAATGTGGGAGAGGAAGAATCCATTTCCAGGCTAGACAGGTTTAAGGAACTAAATCTTATACTCTTTTTTTTGTTCTATGTTAGCAGTAGATTTAGGAGCTGTTTCCTTTAAAGAGATGATCTAGTACAGACTAGGTTATCCCACAAATTACCATTCCCGTTCTTGTCCATTGTATCAAGAACATACAGCAACACACGTCCTGTGTAGAGAACTATTTCATATGTAATATGAATAGTAAAATCTCTATAGATACATGCCCACATGATAGAGACGTGCCAAATACTAAATTTGGATAAATGTTACACTTTTCCATTGCCCTGATGCCTTCAGAAGCACTGGTGCAAAAAAAAACCAATATGCATTGCTAGTCAGAATTCGTATTAGCTATTCTGCATAAATGCCTCTAAATTTTGTGAAGGACACCATCTTAAATAAAAAGAAAACCCCATAACTATGTATTATGAAAAAAGACTTTTGCAATCAGTAAAACAATAAATTCTTTTAAAAAGCACCATTATTCTCTAGTCAGAAAGCTGTAACGTTCACTAACAGAAGGCTTTTAAAACATCTTCACATCTTTAAATGCTGACCTTTATCAGATGAAGGACCACCTCAAATTAAAACATGTCCTTGGTCAGCAAAGAAGAACAGAAGAGACAGTAGTGTTAATCAAACACCAACCTTTCCAACAAGAGGAGAAAAAGAAAAAACAAAAATTCTTGAACCCTCTCCCTACAGTTTCTTCCTGTTGAAAGGCTGGATGAAGTACTGTTTCAGCGCAAGATTTTGTTGTCCTTATGTGAGATTATAATGCCAAATCTGTTGCAAGTGTATCTAACAGAGTACCTTGAATCTTTTCCTAAATGCTCAGACAAAAGACTAATTAAATAACAATCCAGTGAGCTTTAGCTTTCTTCTTTTAATATGCAACAAATTAAAAGTACTATAAAAATCAACTTTCCTAACCAGTAGATCAGATTTAGATCAAAGACTCTTCCACTGCATTTTTTTTAATGCCGAACTATCAGCTACGTCATACGTCTCTATGCCACACCATTAACTGATGAGTATTTTACACAGACAAATAAGTGAATCTGCGAGCTCAGTGTTCATGTCCAAAAAAATTAAATAAGCTTGCTATATAAAGTGAAGGAATAAATGTCAGGTCAACAGGAGGACTGGTGCAATTTTACAGAAGTCAAGGTTTTTCATCTCAAGAACACAAGCACTGAGTGTGGCTGATAGTTTTAAACCTTTGCATACCAGTTATCAGCAAAGGTTATGTTTTCTGTGCTTCTACTTTAGCTTACTGTGAAAGAACAGTCACTGTTAAAATACTGCACTTCTATACAAGCTTAGTTATTTGTCCATCAGGTTCTCCTGACTGATACAGACTCCTTCACTTATATTTGCCCTACAAAGCTCTGAAAGTGCCAAAACATACTATATATTTACTAGTTACCGTAAAGAGCAAAGTTTTGGACCAGGGACTGAATGAGTTCCAACCTAGAAATCAGATTGAAGTTGGGTAAATTACATATTTGTTTAATTTCACAGACCATAAGTAGCTAAGTTCTGTTTCCATATCCAGTTTGGATTTAGATGAAGAAAATCCCGAGCTCACCTCCTTACCCCATATCCCAAACCAGTAATTTATAAAGACAGATTTTATACACATTTTAGAAAAGAATAATGAAGAGCATCATATCTTGGATGTCTTCACCATCTTATTAGAAAATAACTCAAAGTAAAATATGGGAAGAGAGAATTTAAAAAAAAAACCCAAACAATATATTGCATTTGCTTTTGTTTCTTTCTGTCACATTTAACCTCCTGAAAAATAATTTACTTCAGATCATTTTTAGTTGTATAAATTAAACAGAAACTGGACCTTGGATATATTTTGTTCATTTTACACAAAATTCACATCTTTCTTCTTAGGTACTGTGATTCACCGTATACTTTCAAATGTTGTGGAAAAGTTCATAATATTACTATAGACTTAACATACATTTTCATGTAAAACAAATCAGGAAGGTCACCTAATTTCTTTACACAAAGCAAGCATTTTCTCAATATTTCTTCTTATTTATTAAAATGTAGGTTTCTTGAAGCATTATAACAAGTATACATAGTTGGAGGATGTTCATTCTATGAAAACATGTATCTTTATCATATTTAATACCATATATAGTTGAAAAGTACTATAAGTTTCTAGTAGGATTAATTTTTCAAACCAAATTTTATCTTCACATCCTAGCAGCACTGATTACTTCCGTAAAACAACAGAGCCCCCAAGAACACCTTCACTGTGACATTCCACTCAAAGCAGTAAGAAATAAAGGCCATCTCCTAGCAACTGGGAGATCAAAAGACTATTTGGTGTGTTCACATTACTGGGAATCATTTTGCAGCACAGACTCTCCTAGAACCAGTGATTGGTGGGACAATCAAACACTCTTTTTTACTCTCCGTGAGGAAAGGTATTTCTATCTGCTTCAGTTCTTGCTATCCACTGCAGTACGCAGACTGCACGCTCTTTAACAGTATTATGCTAAAGCCTAAGTATCTAATACTTAAGCAGACTTTGGTTCCTTTGTATATTTCTAAGACAGAGTGAGTAGGAAGCCACACTAAGATGTTATGTTATTTTTCTAAATGAACACGTAAGTTTCATCAACATGTACTTCCCCAAGTGCTGCATTCTGAAGTTCATGTCCTAAAAAAAGTACTGGAGTTTTTTTAAAGTAGTTGCTGGCCCTTCTACCAGAGACTACAGCACTAGCCACTCAGACTGACAGGCCACAACTTCACATTTTATGCGGAGAAAATAGGTCATCTTCTCTGAGTGTGCTTCTAAGGTTCCTTCCACTCGTGTCAAACTTTTAAGTTCTGCTCTTTTTCTGAGGCCAGGCGTGCCCAAGTGTTAGTAAAATGAACAAAGAAGCCAATGAAGATTCATTCTTGGAGACAAAGACAATTGGATTTCTCCAGCTTTTCTCTTGTATCTCAGTAGGTTATTTCATGGTAGGACTAAAACCAAATCAAATTTAGATTTACTGTAAAAATAAGCCAAACAGGACAATACAAATTAAAGTTCCCATACCTCAAGTCCTTGCAATTCAGTTCCATCTTCTGTATCTTTCAATAGTTCCATTAGTCTTCTCCTTTCTCCCTCAAGCATAACAATCTGGTTTCCTGAATCCTTTGCTAGCTGAAATATTTACAAAAAAAAAAAAATAAACAATCTTTAGAGCTTCCTTAACTCAAATAGCACCAAAACAAAGGTTTTAAACTGTCAAATAAACACCAAAAACTCCCTTATTTCCATAATACAAATTATCACTCTGACAGAAAGGTCTAGCAGCCTACATATAATAAATTTATAATCTTATAACAGTTGTTGACATAGCAGAGGGGTGGATATTTTTCATTGGATGAAAAATCATTATAGTTACTAGGTCTTCACAGAAAAAAAAAAAGGCACGAAAATCAAGGCACCTATTTTCTGAAAGAAATAGGTTTTCTGTAAATCAGGGTCCCATGCAGAAGATATATGAACAACCTGCAGACCTGTTCCTTATCAATGCATAAGAATATCTTCCTTTAACTTAACAGTAAATACATTAAAATAAAGTCTCAAGAAATATTTGCCCTCAAAACAAGCTATGTCCAGGCACACACAGAATAATTCCGTTTCCAGTACTCTTTAGCAAATGCATAGAAGCAGTGTTATCCCCATCAACAGGAGCAGCCAAGATGAGAACTATCCTATACAGTACTCTGCCATAAACAACGATTTTTAACAGCCAGATTTTTTCATTTATGCCTAATTAGCTTTTAATGTTCCTGATAAAAAGCCAACTGTCTCCAGAAGTACTCATATACTATTTTTTAGTTAACATTTAACAAAATGTTAATAATTTATGCTTTAATGCTTACCTCAATGTTCTTTTTAATGAAATTCTGCTTGTTTTTACTTTTGCAATGCGTTTTTTCTGCTTGATTAAGAAATTCCTTTGTTTCTAATTCACTTGGATAATCTGAAGTTTGAGGAAGAAAAGTTACTAAGCTATGATCATTCCTTTTCTGATTCAATGAGAGCTGTAATAACAGCAATCCAATTTAAATCTTTAACAAACATATAAAGTGGATAGACAATGTATTTATATGCTGTTTTCATTACTTATATATATATATAAACTATATTTCTATATTTAAAACATAATTCTTGACAAAATCTAATCTCATTTTAAAGTTTTTATTATATGAGATCATTCAATGTTGTGAAGGGTAAAATACTTTTGGATTTCTGACCTCAAAAATGTTAAACATGGCGGCTTTAAAAGCCACAGCATTCCTTCGAACCCTATCATTGTTTGAGTTTTATCATCAGTACAAAACCAGACAATAAATTTTTTTAAAACCACAGAACTATTTGGAAACATATCAAGTACATTTTTTAAATAAACCAGCTGAAGAACAGATGATATATTTGATTATAACACAGCTTATAAAACAAATTTTGTTTACAAATAAAAAACTCATCATAGAGCTGTAAAGCTATTAAACAGCCACATGATATTCTGGCAACACTTTATTGTTTTTCAACAATGGGTTTCTACCCATCATACAAAAATGGGCAAGTATTCTGTTTTTCAGGTACTTTTACCAGTTTTAAAACAGCAATTCCTTTGCAAACAGCAAATACTTATCACATTAAGTATCAAGTCTAAGCAAATACAACCAACTTCTAAGTCTCAAAAACGACTTCAAAAGTAGGCATGGTACTTTTTGCTTATATGGTAAGTAGAGATTTGAAAAATGGGTGTGCTATCTGCCTACAAAAAAAAAACCCAATTTAAAATATTAGCTAATAGAAGACAGGCTCTGGAAGTCTGCACAGAAGTAACTCTTTTTCAGAATGAGTAGATTGAAAGCAAACTCCCAAAGATATGAAATAAATTCCATGTATCCTTTTACACCCTATGGACAAAAAACTGTGCAACATTCTCTCCAATCAGACTTACTCTCAAATTGCAAGTAAACTTTAAAGGTCTGAGGTGTTGGATCAGACCAAGAAAACCCTATCATAGTTTAGTAATGCAGAACTAAAACACAACTGTTTACTGAAAGCATCCCAAACCATCTTTAACATAACCAGGTAACATCTCAAAGCTACCAAGGAACTGGATCATATAAGAATTTCCCAATCAATATAAATGTTAAAAGTTGTATCCTGAACACCAAACACCAACATAACGTGCAACATATATGAAACATTACTTTCAAGCTACACCTTTCTCTAATGACAGAAAAAGTGTTTTCGAGAGGGAGCTATCACACAGAACATCTTAGAACATTCAAGTAAAGGAAAGACAAAGAATACAACTGAAGATTGCCATGGGTAAGTAAAAGAGACACTGCAGCTCAACAAATTTTGCATACGAGTTTTGGTATATTTGGTGCAAATTTCAAAGATTTGGTACTGAGACTGCTGAAGTAATATTATAAAACTAATACATACATTCTTCTTCACAAGTTAAGCTCCTCTTGTTCAGGGTCTGCTTTTATGACAACTGTTACACAAAAATCCAAAAGCAACCAAGACAGTAACTCTTAGCTATTCAGAAAACATATCAAAAGCCTCCAACAGAAATAGTAAAAGTCATTTAAGTAATTTATTGCTCATAAGTTTTAAGTGATCTCTATTTCACTTGTTCCCAAACTCGAAGAACGTAGAACATCTCAAAATAGTGCAAGCAACAGCAACTCCCAATCATGCTTTTACTGGGAGCTTCAGAAGTCACTGCTGCCCTGAACACTGGTAATGAAACCTGCCATTCAAGGACACACCAGCACAACTCAGAAATTGTGAAGATGGAAGCTGAGGGTCAAGCTTCATTTTAAGGGAGGAATGAAGACACATAGAAGGAAGACAGAGAAATCAAAAGCACAGCACTGCTCCAAGCCAGTGTGAAGAAACATTCAATAACACAAAGTTATGGTCACATACTGATGGACTAAGACAAGTGATAAAATGAGAAGGGAGCTGAGGTCCAGATTTAAAAATTAAAACATGCAGTCACATCCTAAAAAGTGCAGAAATTCTGATGCCATCAGTGGTTCAACCGTGAGGAACACCCATTTGTTATGTCTTTGTCATCTCAGTCAGTCACCAGGAAGCTAGATTCCTTCTGTTTATATAGAATGGTAGATGACAAAGAAATAAAAAATTGCCGCTGATAGCAGTGGCAGCTGAAGCTATTCTTCTCATGTCACAACATGTGAGAAGTTACTCAACCATACAAATTTGAATTTCAAACAGAGACACAAAAGCACAATTCCATTTATCCTGAAGTGTTGGACACACGCTACTATCAGCATTTGAAACCCCAATACAGTGCACATAAACAAGTGATGTCTAAAAGACTCAGCACAGGTGTCTGATTTTTGCCAGAAAGTACTTAATCCATAATAGTGATGCAGCCTTTACAATAATCAGAATAACAAAACATGAAATGAGTAGTCTGTAGATTTAGGTTTGTCACAACATTCACACACTTTCTCCTGAAAACAAAAAAAATTACAGAACAATTGAAACTGTATGCACCACCACTCTTCATTTTTAGATGGTTTCTTGAATATAAGCCTATTAAGGAAAGTTACAGTACCTTAGAATAACAGCAAAAACAACTTTTAAAGAATTTCCATGAAGAACCAATGACACATTTTACAATAAATCAGTTACATACCTCATTATTTTGCAATGAAAAAAAAGTTTTATAAAGACAAAAGTAAAAATTTTCTTAGCATGTTGAGTAAAATGTTTCGGATAAGTCACAAACAAAATTACTCCTTTTATAATTTGTAAAGAAATAATAACTCTCACCATTCCACTAAGCAACCTTGTTCTGATTTCACTGGCCTAGCCACAAGGGCCAAGTTGTCGTTATCAACCCACTGTACATGTTGTTTTGCTGTATCTGAAAATACAAACTATAAAATTAATAAAGCTTACCCTGATTATGTTGGGGTTTACAGCAATCATAATCTTCTGGATTAATCTGTGTGTAAAATACTGAAGTACCTGTTTCATCTTCTTTAGCATGGGAAGGATCTGCAAGGGATTTTTTCAGTAAAATTTAATTGAAATGTATTTAAAGAATATCTAGTTTCCTGTGTATAGTACTGTAAGATCTCACACATGAAAGTTAAAGAAATTTACTTGGGTAAATTACATAACCACCATATTTCTCAAGAAATAAGAAAGGGGAAAAGTATAAGGTGTGTCTCGTGAATAATTATGCTGTTTCATATCGCTGTGTTTTTGGTTTTAGCAACTGCTGCCCACACATGACAAATAATTACATTCTAGAAGAGACAGCCCAAGGCCCTAAAGTTCAAAAGCCTCTGCAGACACCATGTGGCAAGTCATCTAGAACTCTGAAAGAGAATAAAGTATCCAGGTTTTCACAGCTGTTGTTTCCCCCTGCATGAATTATTAGACTTCCAAGTGGCTTAAGTCAAGGGTATATTCTAGAAAAAAACTGTTCAAACATCCTAGCATGCAAGAGTTGCTTCAGTTACTCAAATAAAAAAAATCAGTTATGGTATTGACATATACCAACTGGAAGTATAAGCTAGAGTATTAACTTGCAGGCTGCACACTCAGCACTTACAGAAAAGGACTAGTATCGCAAAGAAGCATTTATATCACGTACGGAAAATGTGTTTCTCATAATGAAAAAAACAACCAGTATATTGTAATATGAAGTTTAACAGACTCAACTAAAAGCCTGATCTTGTTACACAGAGCACAGAATGAATTTAAGGCTGTTTAATTAACTCCTGATTTACATTTCTGCCATGAGTATGTCAGAGGTTTTTTGTGCCTGAGAGGCTGGGACACATAAGTTATTAATGATTTTGTACCTGGAACTTGTGTTTGATTTCATAGCCACATTAAAAGCTGTAATTAAATAGCTCCCCTATATAATTTATTTAACAAAGCTCTATATCAAATTCAAGCTCTGAAAAGCAAAATATATGAATTGCACTCCACTTCGGTATCAACCGGGGCAGGTATCAGGGCACTCATTTAAATAAATACATAAGTAAGACCTGAAAAGTAAAGCACTAGCAAACAACAGAAAATTCAATAAAGATCAAGCTGGAGGAAAAACAGAAATCTAAACTATGCACAGTTTTGTCAGTGTGGCCCACCAGAATCCACATGATGTACATGATCCCTACAGCAATGAGTTACCTTTGAACTAAAAGAGGAACTGAAGCATGGAGTTCATTAACAACCATATAGTTTTGCTTGCCTACTGTTTCTTTACTATACCCTGACATCTACTGGAGACTCTTTAAATATCACCCGTATCAAATTTTCTGTTCTTCTCTTAATAACCCAAATTTTAGCACAGAAATAAAATGTTACCTTGTAGTAATGAGTTTTGTTGAAATGTTTTAACCATATATTGATACCATTATTATGCACATACTTCCAACATTCAAGCTGAGATTTTTGCTCAGCAATAACCATTCAGACTTCAAATCCTTGTTCTCTCCCCAACAAGAAAAAGGACAGGATGTACCACAATTCTGTTTCCTTTCAAACCAGGTATCCAGATGAAGGACAGAATGCAAAACGTGCATATGATTGACACATCTCTGAGAACTCCAGCACCACTCTCAAGCAATTTTGACATTGTATATTCTTGACAAATTCAGTCTGTTTCCCTGCCCCTCCCAATAAAGATATTATAAGCAGAATGCCTATGGTTTGTACCAGGGTCTCTCCAGTAAAAGCCCAGCCACAGAAAGAAAAAGGACATTTTAAAATACCCAATTTTCTTTTGCCAGGTCCCTGCAAGCATGCGCATCCCCTCTGCATTCTTGAAGAAAATACCAATACTTCAGAACATTCTTCAACCGCTTGCTTTAGAACTCCAACATCATTGTGTCCTTCTGACTCAGCAGAGAAAACATTTCTAAATACTTTTTTAACTTTTC